TCTCAAACTTTCTCTGATTTTCCAGCTGGGTAGTGTGGCTGTATGCCATAATATATATATATTTTATTTTAATTTCTATATAGTTTCCTTTCTTTCCTTTATCTATTGTTTGTTCGTTCTACAAATTTCCTTCTAAACTCTTTCTTTTTGGATGGCTAATCCCTTGGAACAAAAGAGAGGAATGTGGCCCTGAGGGTGATGTGTATGAACAACAACGGTCATTCTTGGCTGGGACTCCAACAAGGTAGGACTGAAGGAGCTCTTGTTCTTGTTTTACAGTTAAGAAGGGCTATCCTTTTAGCTAGGGCTTTGCCCTGTAAGAATATGAAAGAAGAGTTTAGGAAAGTTGAGGATTAGGAGGAAGAGGAAATAAAGATAGATAGGACAGTGTGAAATAAGAAATAGCCCAGTGCCCCCCACGGGAGCCCATGAGTGCTGCCTCGCATTTATTAAAATCAGAACACAATTACATTTGAACATGTGTACATATATACAAAGAGTTAACAATGTTTATACTCCATCGTTGGGAGAGCCGCTCAGTGGGTCAAGAGCCTTACTCTCCTTAATAAATTTGATGATGGCTTTCATCAAATTTTTGTTGTCGATGAAATTGTGCTCACCAGGAGGTCAACTAAAACCCTCCTTGAGACAAGTCCCCACCAGTTTTAGTCTTTGGTCGCTGTATTTGGTACAATTGTAGATCAGATGTTCTACAGTGTATTCAGAATTTATGTCGATGTTGCACTTGCTGGAGGTCTTCCTGAAGCGTTCTAAGTAGGTATTGAACGCCCCATGTCCGGTGAGACATTGTATGAGTTCATAGCTTGGGTAGAAACTTTTGTCTTCTTTCGATTGAAGGAATAAATTTGTAGCATTGTCTTCCAGTGTTTGACTTGTCCCATTCCCTTTGCCATAGAATCCTGATTTCTTGTCTTACATAGAGGTACATATAACTAACTGGGAAACGAGTGCATGTAATGTTTGCATTTGTCCTTGCTTTTTTCGCCAGTTTGTCGACAAGTTTGTTTCCATCAAAGTGAACCGAGAAAGAATAAGAACTATCAAACAACTCCAAGAGAGCATGTGTTCTAGAAATCCACCACCCCAAGATCATCACCAGTATTTGGGTACCCATTTTCCTCTATCCTATCATTGGTTTCTGATTCTTAAATTCTCCTTCACTTAGTTGTAATTAGTTGTAGTTAGTTGTAAGTGTGTAATTAGAGTTATAATATGTGTATTGCAAAATTATTGAAGACGGGAATTGATTGTGTCGTGAAAATAGAACTGATAACAACCTGATAAAAATTGTAGTACGACTCGTATTATACTTTTGTACTGGGACAGAGAATAGCTGGCATCCCAAAAACTTGTCCGAACTCACATGAAATAAAGATATTTCTTATATATAGTTGTATTTTGTAACTCTAGTCACACCTCACATCACAGTAGGAATCCTGCATATAGTATATCTAATCAATACATCAATACATATAAAAATTTCTAGATAAAACAATCCATTATTTAAATAAAAAGAAGTTTTACTTCAAATAATATTTTCACAACAAATATTTAATTTTTACTTTCCTAGCTGTATATATAACGGAGGAAAAGTATGACAATTGGTCAAAAAATGATCCCCCAAGTTTTTTACATTTTTTGGACTTGGGTCTTTTAAATAGACCAGAGTCCAAATTGTTGAGTCCATTAAGAAATGAAAAAAATTCAGGGTTAGTGTGTGTATGTGTGGAGGGGAAGATTTTGTTCACCCATTTTGAACCTTAATAATTCTTGTGCCTTTTGTTAAAAATTTCTGAAATTTTGCAGGGAGGTTTGTGTATTAGGGGATTGATGCTATTGAATTTCGATAGTTAAAGTTTAAGGGAGGAAAAATAGAGTGGGGGGCATGTGTCATATCTTGAGTAGGGTTGATTTAACAAAGATTTTACTTATTATTAGCATTTACAATTTTTTTTTAATAAAAGTCATTCCTACCCTCAGAATTAAAAATTAAGCTTTTTGCCATTTTATAATAATTAATTATATAAAAAGTTTTTTTTAATAAAATATTATAACAGATGGTACAATACACAGTTTTCAATATTGTTGCCTGAAAAGTTAAGCAACTCTGTGCTAGATTTTATAATAAAGTGTTTTGAATATAATACTATACATAGCATAAATCTGAAAAAAGAAATGTTTAAAATATAGTAATCATTAAATTTATTCTAGCAAATGTTAAAATTACAAAATTAATGAAATTTTTTAGATGCATTTATCAGCCATCTTTAAATACAAAACATAGAACAATGAATAATTATGTAGTAGATATATAAACAATAAAGCCCAAACATTTTACCAATCAAATCATTAAAATGCCTGATTACTTCAGACTATGGCTAACTAATAATTAACAACAAGTAATTTGGTAGAATGTCTTACATGTAATTTCAATTCAATATAATTTAAATTTAAAGTTAAGTATCAAATGATCTACCAGATTTTTTATTGGACTACAAATATACCAGGTTGCTTATATGTTATTAAAAATAAGTTATTAGAACTAACTGATACATTTAAGAAGTAAAGTGAGTTATCGGTTAACGAACAGTTCAGATAGCAAACAAATTGGATAACAAACACTTTGGCGAAAGATTTTTATGATCGAATAATGAACACTTTACTGAACAAATATAAAAAGAAGTGACGGAAAATAACGAATACTGATTGATTTTTCCCTTGTCTTCAGGTAACAATTCAAAACCTTCTTCTTCTACGTGGTTTTATATGGAGATATTAGCCGTGTAGGCCCGTTCTCTGAATAGACAATTCAAAACCTTTCAGAACATGGGAGACGTCAACATTGACGCTCAACCTGATACCGATTGGATAGTATTCCTCTGAATTTTGAAACTCGCCCTTGTAATTCTAGCTTTTTGTTTACCTTTCTGACAAATAATTTTTTATAGTCTTCGTGAGACTGTCGGACAGGCACTTGTTAAGTTTTGCATCACAGTTTATTTACAAAAGGTGAAAGTTTAATTGTCCCATCAGATATTCATTAACGTTTTAATACCAAATTTCAAATTTCATCCGGGCCTTGCATTTAAATAATTTTTTGTGGGCTAGTTGATTTCTGTTCTCCGAATTTTTGTAAGTGCTTTTCTGAACTTTTTATTTAAAAAAGAAACTGATAATATTATGGAGCCTAAAATGAGGAGTGTCAAGAACTGTGCTCACCTTAGAAACCAAAGAGATAATAGCCAAGGTAGAAAGTATATACCTTGGCTATTATCTCTGATGTTGCTAGGCAGTATAGCTTGAACAGGCCTACAGTACGCACAATCTTATCTATGAAAGAAATAAAGAGCATTTTAGAGCTCATAATGAAACCTGAAATTGATGTGATGACAGAAAAACTCCAAGAACTCTCAAATAGAGAATACCAAGATACTCAGAGAGATGTGTTTCTTTTGAAAAAGAGGAAGACGAAAGAGGACCAATGTCGACATATGTTACTAAAGATCTTTTGAAGAAGTGAGAGGATGTCAGAACAACAATCATCCAAGTGGCATCCAAATCGGAATAAGGTTAATGGGGTTGGGGATCTCTACAATTACAATACTATTAATTACTTCCGAAAAATCCTGAAGAAAAGAGAAAACAATCAACATTGGACAGATTCTTTAACCCCCACAAACAAAAAAAACATGACTAATAAAAATGCAAGACTGCATATATATGTATTTTTACTATTATGTATAAATAAACATAGTAAAAAAGTATTTATTTTTTATTTTTTTGAGTCTCCGGAATGAATTAATCAAATTCCCATAAAAACCTATGGTAAATCAATAATCGATTAACGAACAATTCGGATAGTGAACAAAGTCTTGGACGGATTATGTTCATTAACCGATCACCCACTGTATATAAAAATATGCACAAATAAACAATAAAAAAATATAAAACTGAATAATCACCACTGAATTTATATTGATTAAATGTACAATAATTTTATAATGCAAGGGAAAAGCATTCCACATTATAATGATTGAAGTAATTCTCCCCTACGCTATCTTCCTATATTTCCATATGCTTGACAATGTTAAGATTGTTAATACATTTGTTGACAAATACCTCATTCTAAAGCGTCATACTGTCATTGTTTCTAATTTTAATGTTTGCTAGTGTAAAGATTGATGATTGCTATACATTATAATAAATTTATTGTAATAATTTAATTCATTTATTTCATAAATAAAAATAAACTATTGTAAACATAATAGTAAGAGATATGAAAATTGTATAAATTTACACTAAAATTGTAATTAGAGTAATATTGATTATGCAATTATATGTTTATAATATGTAGCCACTTATACATAAACATTCATCAAAAAGTTTAGCATATTAAATTATTTCAATTTCTGCCAATAAATCAGAGAAGGAACAATTTAACTTACTTATCAACAAAATTTAGTAAATTTATATTAATTGCACAAATTTTATTTAAATTTTTTTTATTTTACTTTTTTATTAAACACCAAAATATCTCTAACTTTTAATGCCAAACTGCATACTAAAACTATTTCCATATTTAAAAAAAATTCAATTACTGTATACAAACAAATGGTCATACTTTAAATTAAATGTTTTGTCTACTTCAATCACAGGATAAAGTTGGAATGAAAGACTGATTGTCACCTACACACATTTAATATGTAAAAAGTATCCAAATCTTAAAATTTTCTTGAAAAAGTTATCTTTTAAAAGAATATTAAATTTAAAAAAATTTTTTAGTAGTACATATATGAAAAAGTAGTATAAATATTTTTTCTTGTGATTAAAATCAAATGCATATTTTTACAAAAGCAGATTTAATAAAACATTTAGATTAATACAAACTGTATAAAAACAGAATTAGGTATACTTTACTTTTAAAACAATTTTAGTTCATAATCTATTTTAAAATATTAAATTTAATAATACAAAAATACCTGGTCGTTTGGTTTTTCTGGAATGCTTTTTCTTGACAGGAAAACCTAAAAGTAAACAAACTGTATTAATTAAAATATAAATATCTAAACAGAAAAAAAAATTGCATATTTTAAAAATTAAAAGAAAAATAAACATTAAGTTCAGAGTGAGTAAAGAACTAATTACATCTTAATAAAAAATATATGAACAACTGGATGTCATAAATATCAATAAATATGTGATAAATCAAAAACTCAGCAATGATTTTAATAAAACAAATGTTTTCTATTTTTTAGTACCCTTAATCAGGGTTGAAAATAGATTCTAGAACACAGTCAAACATCAAAGTCACACGAGAACAAAAAATTTAAATATACAAATAAAAAAATTGCAAATTAAGAATTTTCCATTTCAATGGGTTTTCATTTTATATAGAATCGTTTTTATTAATGTAGAAAAATATTATAGTTTATATTCAAAACTTAAATGTTCTCTGACTTATCAGTTATTATTAATTATTATAATCATAATTTCAAAAATATTTTGTTGCTTACAGAAAACTACATGCTACATGGAACTAACTGGATCTTAAGCACAGATTTTAAAGCTAGGATGAAGCATTCTGATTGTCATGAAACATGACAATGGTGACTGCAAATTGCTTTGATAACTTCAAAAGATTCTATTGTTAATGATAGAGGAAAAATTTATCTAACATTTTTGTGAGGATAATAATCTTGTTTCCTTAAATAGTTTATTGTCAGGAGATGAATACAGTAATTTTACCTACCATGCAACTAAGGGAGGCAGTGTAATTGATTTTGTGATAGTGTCACAAGAATTACAGTGGGTGATCAGTTAATGAACATAATCTGTTCCAAGACTGTTTGCTACCCAAATTGTTCATTAACCAATTATTGATTTATCATAGATTTTTATAAGAATTTGATTAATTTGTTCTGGAGACCCCAAAAAATTAAAAAATATATACTTTCTTACTACGTTTATTTATATTTAATAATAAAAATACATATATACACAGTTATTAGTCATGCTTTTTCTGTTTGTGGAGGTTAAAGAATCTGTCTAATGTTGATTGCTTTTCTCTCCTCTTTAGGATTTTTCAGAAGTAATCAACAGCATTGTCATTGCAGACTCCCAAGCCTATTAACTTCATTCTGGTTTGGATGCCATTTGGATGACCGTTGTTCTGACATCCTCCCACTTCTTCAAAAGATCTTTAATAGCAGATGTTGGCATTGGTCCTCTTTCATCTTCCTCTTTTTCAGAAGAAAACACATCTTGCTGAGTTTCTTGGCATTCTTCATTTAAGAGTTCTTGAAGTTCTGTCATCACATCAGTTTCAGGTTCCATTATGAGCTCTTGAATGCTCTTTATTTCTCAGATGTGATTTTCAGCTCCTTTAGCTGCTTAAGTTTTCTTGATATATCTTTCTTAGCTAAGATTATGCCTACTGTAGACCTGTTCAAGCCATATTGCCTAGCAACATCAGACATCTTGTGCCCACTCTCTACCTTGGCTATTATTTCTAGCTTGGTTTCTATGGTGAGCACAGTTCTTGAAATTTCACTCTTTTTAAGCTACATAATATTATTATTAATAGTTTCTTTTTTAAATAAAAAGTCCAGAAAAGCAAAGCATTTACAAAAATTCAGAGAACAAAAATCAACTAGTGCACAAAAAATTATGTAAATGGAGGCCCGGATGAAATTTGAAATTTGGTATTAAAACGTTAATGAATATCTGATGGGACAGTTAAACTCTTGCCTTTTGTAAATTAAAATCGATGCAAAACTTAATGAGTACCTGCCCGACAGTCTTGAGAAGACTATAAAAAATTATTTGTCAGAAAAGTAAAAAAAAAGCTGGAATTACAAGGACAAGTTTCAAAATTTAGAGGAATACTATCCGATCGGTATCAGGTTGAGCATCGATGCAGTTGTCTTCACAGCTCCGAAAGATTTCGAATTGTCACCTGGAGACAAGGGAAGACCAATCGGTATTTACTATTTTATGTCACTTCTTTTTGTTTTTGTTCTGTGAAGTGTTTGTTGTCCAAACATAAAAGTCTTCCGCGAAAGTGTTTGTTATCTGATTTGTTTGCAGTCTGAACTGTTCGTTAACAGATCATCCACTGTACATTCTCATATTGTAAATGATTTGTGTATTTTATCAGAGATAGGTTCTGATCACTCACCTGTTTTACTATCAATGATTCCCTTGGTATCATGTAGAGTTTTTAATAGACAAAGTTTTGGTAAACAAGCGATATTAAGGAATGAATTTAAATCTTTGTTTACTGTCACATTAGATAATGTTTTATCAGAGAAATATGGAGGAAACATCACATCAAATGATCTAGTAGAATGTATAGTTAAAGCAGCAGTTAAATTTCCCTGGATTCAATTCACAAAGTTAAATCTGTTCTTTTGTAAAAACCATATAAGAAATGTGTGGTATGATAGTGAGTGCTGTACCATGAGAAAAAAATCTGTGAAAATTGTTTAAGGCAGCAAAATGTTAAATACAGTAGAACATTATATTTTGTGTAAAAACTATTTGAAAGAGTATAAAGTATTACGTCAAAAAAAAAAAAAAAGTCTTATTTTTGGAACTTAAATAGGAGATTGGTGTCATGCAACAATTCTAAAATATTCTAAGAAACAATTAATAGCTTTAAATGAATTGGGTTATAGTTCAAGAATTCCCTTGGAAAGATGGTTCAATTTTTATGCTGCTAAATTCTCTAAAGAACATTCTTTGATTATTAACGATGAACAATTGTCAATGGATGTGTATAAATGTTTCCAATAGAGGTAGAATGTTTTACAGATTTACATTGGAGAAGATAAAAGATACAATTAATCATTTTAAAGCTAGTACTTCACCTGGAATTGATTTTATTAGAACAGAATATTTAAAATGTTTTTCAGAAAAGTTTCTGTTTACAATATTAGAAGTTTTTAAGTGCATTAAAGGAAGTTCTAGTTTTCCAGAAACATGGATTGAATCTTAATCTTTGATTATTCCAATAAATAAAAATGGTGATGTTTATGATCCCAAAAATCATTGTACTATATCTTTGGTTCCTGTAATTGGGAAGCTGTTTGTCTTTATTAAATAAAAGACTAGAAGAATGGATTCTTACATATGATTTTGTGTGTCAGGAATAAATATGTTTTCGGTCTGGCCAATCTTGTCATACAAATGTTTGTACTAAATGCATTAATTCAATCAAAATCCTAGAAAAAAAAAGAAGAAACTTTATACTGTTTTTATGAACTTTAAATCTGTGTTTAATCATAAAGTTTTATAATCTATATTAGAAAGAAGAATGGGCATAGATAAACAGTTTCTTGACCTTATCATTGATATATATTCCAAAGCTACTGCAAGAGTAAAGATACTAGCTGAAACAACTGATTCATTTGGCATCAACATTGGAGTTTTGCAGATTGAGATTCTGAACCCACTAGTTTTCAACTTATATATTAATGGTTTGATAATGCTAGTGGTTTAACTTGCTAAATCTAACTTACCTGGGATTTCTCTGTCTGATCAGATTGAGATACACATATTAATGTATGCTGACAATACTGTAATTCTTGCTGACACTCCACAAATAAGGAAAAGAAAATTGCAATTTTAGAGAAATTTTGCAGTGATTATGGATGAACTATAAATGTTTTAAGGTAATGTCATTCAAGAAGGACTATCATGCAGAGAAAAATGGTTTCCTTTAATAATAAACCTTTACAAGTTGTTTCAAATTACATATACCTAGTAGTTTTATTTTCATCTTCTGAACAATTTTTACAGCAAAATTTATAGTATATGTAAGGCTAAAATGGCATTGGATTCTATGTGGCTGATTCTTTCAAGAGCTAAAATTAATTCTGCTCATTTTTACATAAAATTAATTTAATTGATGATTTTATCTGTATTACTTTACACTGCTCTGTATAGACAACTACCTGTTATGATAAAATGGAAATTGTTCTTGCTCTATATCTTTGAAAAACTCTTATGCTATATAGTAAATTTCCAGCTTACTGTTGCATTTGGAGTTTGATGTTTCTAGAATATTAATAATTGTAATAAAAGGAATAATTTCACTTTGGATTAGACTTTTTAAATTGAAGGATAAAAGTTATGTTAAATTTGTGTTAAAAAAACTCTATAAATTAGATTAAAAAATGGACATTTGTGCATGTAATTGGACAATGGCACTGAAAAATTTGTTAGATTGACATGGTTTCTAACACATCTTTTTATGGTTGTCTCAAGTTCTTCATTTGATTGAAAGATATCAATCATTACAATAATTCTAAAAGTGTGTTGTGAACAAATCATTACAAGAAGAGTGGTCTTTGCTGGAAAAGAATAAGCATTTTCAATTATACTGTAGTATTAAAACAACTTTTATGTGCAAGGATTATTTGTTTACGGACATAAATCATTATGTCAAACAATTAATTCTTCAACCGAGATGTGGTCAAAATTATATTTTGATGTATAATAGCAATACATCAAAATATAATTTTGACCACATCTCAACTAATAATAGATCTTCACAAAATTGGTAATAATTGTAGTATGCAAGTATATGAAACTTGGAAACACATATTTTTCTATTTTATGAAATTTGAAGCAGGTAGGAAAAAGTATTTGACAATATTTAAGTCTTGGAAAGATATAATTAATTTATTGTGTTTTCCAAAAATTGATTATTATTGTATATTTTATTTTGTATTATCTTGTACTAAGTTATTATATTAATTTGTTAAATATTACTAACTTTACTTTTAAATTATAGTTTAACCCCCTTGTAACAACAAACTAAGGTTCATGCAATAAAAAATTAATTAATTAATAATTCAAAATAATTATATTTTTAAATACATACCATTTTTACAATATCCTTTACTTTTTATAGAGATATGGGTTTGTCTTAAGCAAGCATCTCTATGAAGAAGACAATGATTTTCATAAGAAATACCATTTGATCCACAAACGGGAGCATAGTGATCAGGACATACGTCAATACAAGAACATACTGAAACTCCTGATTTTAACACTTTGCATTCCCTTCCAGCTCTACATTTTATGAAATCACAGGCACTTTCTGCTATAAATAAACAAAAAAAAAACACACATGTTTTTCAATTTAAAATACCATATTTGCTAAAATATACAAATATATGTGGTGTAATATTAAAAAAAAAAAAAAAAACTAAACTGCTGTTTGGCAATAGTGCAAACTACAGTCTTTTTTCTATAAGGATCGATGCTTAGACATTTGAGCATCGGTCTGCCAAATAAGATTGAGTTTTTCAAATTGAATAATTTGCTACATATGATTTTGTAACATTGTATTAGTATTGTGATCTGAGAATTAACTTGAAAAGCAAACAAAGTTAAATTTTGTATTAAACTTTGAAACTCTGCCACAAACACCCTTAAATGCTTCATAAGGTCTATGACAACTAAACCATGAGCAAAGCCACAAGCCCCAAGACTGCAAAACAAGTCAGATTCATGACAGAGAGCAAATTGTTCTTTTTTAGCTGTATGGATATTATGTATTGAGAATTTGTTTCTTCCTGTCAGACAATGAATTCATCAGACTTTTACTGTGACATTTTGAGTCAATTACACATTTGCTGCAAAAGACCAAAGCTGTAATGCAACCAAACCTGGCTCCTCAAATTTGATTTCTGCACATACACAAGTATTTTTTGTGAAAAATAGTAAGACAGTCTTCTCCAACCCTCTTTACTCATCGAATTTAGCTCTTTGTGACTTCTTTTTGTTCTTCAAAATTAAACTGAAGCTCAAGGGACAGAATTTCAAAATGGTCAAAGAAATTCAGTCCAAATTCCTACAGAAACTTCAGAATTTTTGAAATAATGATTTCCAAGGAATGTTTGAGTCTTGGCAGAAGTGGTGGAACCACTGTATAAAAGCAGAGGAGGACTATTTTTAAGGGAATGATGGCCAGATTTAAATTACATCATATAAGCAAGTTGAGAAAATTATCAAGTTAATTTTCTCAACTTGCTTATCTAATATCCGGCGTGAAGTTCAATAATAATTTTTCACTTTTAAATTACATCATATCCAGTTTTTTTTTGATGCACCTGTATTTAATTAATATTTGTAAAATTTGCATAAATATATTATTGACTCATAATACAATCTCCAAATAATTGAAATTTTTTTAACTGATAAAATTCTAAAAATATTTTTAAAGAAGTAGAAAGATTAAACTTCTAATGAAACAAAGTTCAAATACAAAAGTTTCATAATATAAAAGTCATTACAATTTAGAAATCAGTACATATTACTGTAACAAAAAAAAAATGTTCTTTAACAAATTTCAGACATAAAAGAATACACCTTGTTCTTCAAGCACCTTCAACTAACAAAAAACTCATCATGAAATTAACGTCCGTAATAGAACACAGTTATGTACAGAACTGACTTCATAGATGTGTAACGTGTGCATTCACACAGAGTATCACATTTATGGAGTCTCATGCTAAGTTAATACTTGGTTCCCAGTATCTTAAAAAAATCCTGGCATTTATATTTTGTACTGGGCCCCACAAAATATAGAGCTGGTTCTGGCTGTGGAAACCAAATTCACTGGTGCACTCAAGGTTTAATCTTGAGGTGTAAAGTCAAACAGATAAAAAAACTTTTTTATGTGAACTCAATAAAATTCCATTAGGTGACCATTAATTCATAAGTAATATATAAAGAGAACACATGACACAATATAAATAAAAAATTGAATTTTAATTAGAAAAATATTTTTGGAAAATTTACTAGTGTTTCTTTTCCTTTTACTTTGGGAGTGCCAGGGCTCTTGGCCCACCCATGTGCACCACTGACCAAATTGATTGTCCAAGATTACATAATAAAAAAATATCAAAATACAGTATTATTGTATTTGCTATGATTTTAAAATAATGATATTTTTAATTTGATAAAATAAGAAATTTATAGTTTATATATATTTACGATATTTAAATTCTACTATCTGTTACAAAATTTTTTTTTAATTTGCAAATTAAGAGAAATCTGTCAAATTCAATCATCTTTTATTAACTTTTAGTCCTAGGAACAACACTACAATAGCACTGACCTTTTAAAACAGGCATTTTTGACTGAATGCTGACTACTGAATACAAAAAAATATCAGCTGATTTATTTGGAACTGATTAAAAAAGAAGATTCAGACTCTAAGCCTTAGAATGAAAAAGTATCTTCTACTTAATAATAATAACAAATTATGTACATTTTTATTTATAAAGACATATATAATTTGTAATTATTTTTAAAAAATTATTATTATGTAATGAAAAGTAAAAAAAATTAAAACTTATCATTGAGATCTGCCATTTTTTGGCAGCCACACAAAATAGTGTATTTAGTGAATATACAGTACACTGAACAAAGCTAGAAATATAATTGGCCTGAGGAGGCCTAAAGCCGTATCTCTTGAGAAGGAAATTGGTTAAGTTAGTCACTGATTACATCCACGAGTAGTGTTGTTGTCATGCTGGAAGAATGATACTGGATAGCGAAGGAGTCCAATAGTCATTTTCACGAGTTCCTTTTACAGAAATATATACAAAGGTTACAATTACACTGTCAGTATAATTGTAACTTTTGTATATTGTCCTGAACTCATTTATAAACAAACTTTAACTCTGCTCATTTCTAGAATTCTAAGTAGATTAATCAGTATAGTTTTTGCAAGCTAAGAGTTTTCTCCTTTTCTTTCTGTGGCAATGTCATCTTTCCTATCATGTCATTGATGTTAGTACTACACATTCGTGTTTCAAATAACTAAATATATATACTTGTATATATAATTACCTAACCAATTAAATCATCCTAGCTAATTAGATTTCTTACTTAGCCATCTGTTTTACTGAAAATTGTTCTGATTATGGCTACATGTAAAGACAATGCTATTAACAAAGAGCCAGAAGACTGTCTAAGCATGAATGTTGACATTATGTAAATTTCTATTACAATTTGATATCTCCTAATAGTACTTGAAACTATCTCCATTTCATGTTTTTATTTCCATATTGGAAGTTATATAATATGCAAAGTTTTGAACCATGACTTTTAAAACCGAAGGAGACAATTAAATAAATCACACTAATCTTCAACAAGTGTAAGTTGATAAATTCTAATTTTTAGCCTTTTTGAGCTATCTTCAGGTATTGTTTTAAATAAGATGCACAAACCATTAAGATTTTTGAATTTCCATCATTCCAGAGAATAAAACTCCTCTGTATTTAAAGATGAGCAGTGATTGTTCAAAATGAGAAAGCAAAAAATATTAAATCTAAATACAGTGGAACTTCGATATATGACCTTAATCCGTTCCTGGTGTTTGGACTTATACCGAATAGGACGTATACCAAACCAACCTTTTCCATAAGAAGTAATGTAAAAATGATTAATCCGTTCTCATGTAAAAAAAATTGCTGGCTTTAAACACCTGGCTTTCCTCACTAGTTTCTGCTTGATTTTTCATGAGATCAGCATGTATCCTTTTAACTTTCTCGCAAATAATTTCTTCCGATACGCTGTCGCCGGCACACTGTTTTTCAGTTATCCAAAGCAAAAGCAATTTCTCGACATGATCTAATGTCTTCGATCTCTGTTTAGAAATTGATTTAACCCCTTTCGCAACGTTAGCAAATTTAATAATGTCTTTATTTTTCACGATTGTCGATATCGTCGTTCTCGGAATACGGAATGCAACAGTTAAATCTCGTTAAATCTCGAACACGCGTGCCACCTTCATATTTCTCAACAATCTCTTTTTTCAGTTCCGTTGTGATTCTAGTCATTTTTTTATTTTTCTGTTGCCCTTTTGCAATTCATGATTAATAAAAATAATAAAATGTTACTTACAAATTAAAATCAGAAGAAATTTAACAAAGTTATAAACCGTAGCACTGCGAACGTGTAGTCTAGTGTAGTACACCGATAGTGCTACTTGTTCATAGATGGCGCGTATAATTGAATTAAGTCGTATACCGAACAAAAGTCGTATACCGAGCAAAATTTGTTTCGTCCAAACAGGACGTATTCCGAATTGGATGTATTCTAAAGCAGACGTATACCGAGGTTCCACTGTATATAAAATTGCTTGTCCTGACTGACTGACTGACTGACTGACTCACTGATTCATCATCACCCAGAGCAGACCGCTTAACCTAAAGAGGTGAAATATGGTAGACAGTTAGGGTACGTCATGGAAACGCACACTAAGAAGGGATTTTTCAAAATTCCCCCGCGGGAGGGAGAGCGTTAAGGCTTAACCGAAAGAATGGCTTCTAATGCACTATTTTAGATGCAATTTTTTGTTTTTATCTGCATTTTAGTAGGGTATGCCATAGCAATGCACACTAAGAAGGGATTTTTTGAAATTCCCCCGCAGGCAGGAAAGGATTTAGTCTTCATCAAGTACTTAGGTGTATTAAATTAATAACATTTCAGACATTGTTATAAATATTTTTATCTATTTCAATTTTAAAATTGTTCGAACCATTTTAAATTCAAATTTTTTATTGCATATTGGTTCGATTATAGAACAATTGTAAACGTTCCAGAAAATTGATCAAATTGAAAATAGTTCGTTTGATTCTCGGCAATTCTCATCATTCTCAGCAGTAGGTGTTATATAACAATTACTATGGTTGTAGAAATACTGAATATAAATGGGGTTTGCGTGCAAAAGCAGCGAGTAACAGCTAGTATTTCATATTTTGAATAAAACATTCACCATTTTAAATATGCAAACCTATGTTAGAAAAGCAAAACAGATGAAAAAAATAAAAGAGCAAACATGCCATATAAAATAAAAATAAAGCTCAACATGAATTTCAGCTCAAAAATGGATTTCCATACTGTGAGATTTTATTTCTCTATGTTTAAAGTTAATGTATCTGTCATTTTTTCTATGGAATAAATCAATTTCCAGCTGCTCTCAGGGCTTTAAAAAGCTGCTCTGTCTTGTAGGACATATTACAGAGGCTTCATTCTTTAGTACTCCCTGCCTTGGATCTGTGGCATTAGAAGATAATACAGTGGTGCATAACTCCTTCCTGATGTCCATTTTGTGCTCATATAGTCATGCTGAGGGTAAGCAAGATATGGCACCTGTGTACTCCCTTTGTATGTTAAATTTTCTATCAAAAGCATCTTACAAACTCCTAGCATCCTATAGTCATTTTGCTTATTCTTGTTGCTAAGGAGTTGATAGACTATTTTGTTCCTTTTATAGAGTAGGTTTGTGCATTTTTTCCTCTGGCTGTAGCATGATATAAGGAGGACACACATAAGAAATCTGCACTGGTTAAAAGCATGGCAATATATCATTGGTATCATGGTTCCTTCATTCAGCAGCTCAACAAAGTTTATTGTAACAATGATAGAATAAAAATGCTGAGATACAAAATCAAAGGTGCCACTATCACCATCCAATTCAATCCTTCATTTAACCGCTTATATCCCAAATGTTAATATTTATCAACTTAGAATTACTGAAATCATAAGATTAGTGTAATTTATTTAGCAAAGATTCATACCATTAAATTTTTCATTTTAATTTGATCTTAACATGCAAACATGTTACTATAAAAATGTAAAACTTTAAAACTTTACACTGTTTGCTCTGCTTGTTCTAAGCCAGGGGTGTCCAACCTGTGGCCCGTGGGCCACATGAGGCCAAGGCAAGTTCCAATGTGGCCCAATAAATGTGTAAATAAAACCGACAAATTGTTTTATTTTTTTGTTTATTTATTTATTTCAACGGCATAAACTCAAAAAAGAAGTTTCACAAAACGTAAACTTTTATACATATTTTATTTTTGAGTGGAAAGGAAATACTTTCAAATACTTGACAAAGGAATACTAAATAAAGCTGAAGTTGTGACTCAAAGGATTATAGACCAAAATTTGAGTAAAGGAGAGAAAGGCCAAAAGATAAAAAGTAGTGAAAAAGGTTAAATAGACATTCTGATATGCAAATATTGACCCTTAATTTTCCAACCTTCCTCACTACTTTTTATCTTTTGTTCTTTCTCTCCTTTTCTCAAATTTGGATCTATAATCCTTTGAGTTCCAACTCCAGCATTATTTAGTACTCTTTCCAGCATTGCAAGATTTGGCTACTTTGCACCAAATTTGGCTACCCTTTTTTTTACTTTGGCATAAAAATTATCATTTTGCACATTGGCTACTTTCTAGCCTACATATTATTTATAATATTAGTCAAATAAAAATGCACTTTAAAACGGTGTTTTGTCATTTTTTATTACTTAGAGACCCAAATAAAACAAATATTTGTGTTTTTCAAGTAAATTTTTGTTTGTCTCCTTTGTAATAGATGAATTTATTTATTTCTAAGTAAAAATTGGAAGTCTGTAGAAGTACTTTTTTAAAATATCCTTTTTCGTGATAAAGTTAAAAATACTTATTACTATTACTTATTACTATAATCTAGACATGTTAATCCTTAAATATACAAGTATATTTAAGGATTGGGTCACAAATATATTATTTATGCTTGTGGCCCAAAACTTCATGACTTCTTCCAATGTGGCCCAGAGGAACAAAAAGGTTGGACACCCCTGCTTTATTTGATGCTTACAGTCAAAATTCATCACTTGAGTATTTGAACTGATTCTTTGTTTTAGTTTTAAAATATTCCATATATAATTAGTTCTTTCAGAATATTGAAGATGGGACATTGCATTTTCTTAAGGTTGATTATAAACGATGACACCCATTATTTAGAGTGTCCGCTATTTAGAGGTAAATATAATAGATGTCCTATTTGAAGGGTCTGGGGATTGTAAAAATGCCCATTAAGTACAAGTGTCTGCTACTGGAGAGTGTCCATTAATGGAGATTCACTGTATATTGTTATGCACATAAGTTTTAAATCAGAGATTAAAATAATATATGGAAAAGAAAAACTACATTGTGTGAACTTCTCTTTCTCTTCTTTTTTAACATTAAATAAATTTAAACATTTTCAATTCAATAAGAATTGAGGTAGTCTTAAAAATTATTCTATTTTTTTTATAAAGATTAGGATAAGTTAATTTTGAAAGACTAATCAGTTTAAATAATAATGAAATGTATTTTAGTATATTAGAATATACTTCATTACTTGAACATTATATATTGTACGATAAACAAAGATTGCCAAAAACATGACAAAGTATGACAAAACAACAAAAATATTAACTTTGCAAAGTCAAAGTTAAAATGTATTAAGTTAGAGTAAAAATATCATTAAAGTTCTGAATATTAACAGACATAACTTCTAAAACATTTAGTGGATGAGGTTATAAGTGCAAATAAATGCAATCTGTATTAATTGTACTAAAAAGAATTTAAAAAGTTTCAGTGTATTGTGGGAAGAGGTGAAATATTAATATATCAAAATGATTAAAATACATGGCAATCTCTTTTGTAAGATTTTTCAAATTTTAACAATTACAGTAACCATCATAAAATGAGAAAAATGAAGCTACCAAAAAGTAGGCATGATTACGGTTTTCTGTAAATAACTGAAATTCAAAATGTATAATGGAAATTCAAATTGATCTAATGCACTTGATAGGTTAAAAATATTGTAAAACTATATACAGTTTATTATTTTGATATATGAGAGCAAGCAATACTTAATATCTAACTATTGTTAGATTTTATAAAAATAGCCAGTATGAACTTAAGTTTACAAAAACTTTTCCAAAAAAATTCCTTAGTAGACAATACATACAAGATGTGTCTTTTCATTCACTCTTTTCAAACACACTTGAGGAAATAATAATATTTAAAAAAAAAACTATTTTTAGATTACTGTATTTACTTGCATATAAGACAAATTTTTATTCATTTTTCACTGCTTCAAAAACCTAGGTCGTCTTATATGTGCGAGTGAAGGATTCTTTGCATTTTTGCAATAATTTTTGTGAACCATGTATTCGCATCACATTTTATACTGGATGCTTGCCTTTTGGTGTTTAAAAACAAAACTATTTTATTTGGGTCATTTGAATTGTTCTTGTGTATTGTCAGAAGTAAAGATGAATAGCTATAGGAAAAGCAAAGCTTTTGAATTGAATTCCAAATTGAAATTCCAAAATCACACAAAATCATCAAGCCTGACATAAGTTTTAATCCATTCCCACATGAAAACAGATGAATTTGGAGAAACTCATAAGTGTAATCGACGGAGAGTGAATTTGACTGTTAAGAATTGGCAAAAAAAGTTCCTGATTGTTCAGCTTTACATGAACAAATTATGTTGCTGATTTTACAAGATTTTTCCTTAAAGTTTAAAATGCCCATAATTTTTGAAGGATAATGTGCACAGTTACATGCATTTGATATTTTACTTGTGATTAAACAAAATAAAATTAGAATTGTATTAATATATCTAATTTTCTTTATTTTAATCTTTAAAGTTACACTTCATCCTACATGCAAGATCGTCTTATATGCAAGTAAATACGGTATTTTATTTCTGCCTTAAACAACTTATTTCCATTTTAATACATAATATTTGTATGTCAAATACTGTTTCACTTATTCAGAATATTACATTCAATTCAAGATATGTATAAGTATATTATTTGTATTAATGTAAAATTGATTATTTTAAAAACGTTTATTATTGTATTATAAAAATAAGATAAACTATAGTGTGTGAGAACATGTAACAATCAAAACTCAGACTTTAAACTTCAATTTATTTGGTTATTAACTTGTAATTTAATAACCACATTGTTATAAAAACATGCATGAATTATATGTATGTAAAATATAAAAAAAGAAAAATTTAATTTACCATGTTTTCTTTCTCCTTTAACCTAAAAAGTTTAAATGTAAAAGCAGAAATTAGAAATATTATATTTGAATTAATTCTAATTCTAAAGCTTCTAATAAAAAATCTTTACCTGTAATATCCAACATGATACCAGAGATAATATTAAGATATGTTTCATCTACAGAAATAAAAAGGTGCATACTTTAATAATAAAAGAATTAAGATTAATAAAGAATTTAGAATGGGTATTCGTAATAAACTACCATTTTGAGTGTTTATTTAGGAATCTGTTATGCATCCATCTGTTTTAGTAATTAAAAATATTTTAAAAACGTGTTTAAATAGTACTCCGGATGTCAACAAGATTACTTGATTCAGTCTTGGCTCGGATACAATCTCATCTACGTATGTTTGAAAAAAAAAAAAAAAAAAGGTTTATTTGTTTTCATTTTATAAATATTTCTTTTCTAAATTATTTTAATTATTATTTTTACTTGAATTTATAACATAAAAATAAGCAATAAAAAATATTACTTTAATTTTTATTGCTAGTTAGTTTATATACTGTGTCGCCACTAGCAAATTGGTTTGACATTCAACGGAATTGCTTTTTACTATGTGCCAGACATGGGCAAATGTGGCTCTTTTTGAGTTACATACGGCTCTTGCTGAAAGCTCTTCGCTTGCCCACCTCTGCTATATGCGTTACTATTAACATTTAACAAGAGAAATATTTATCATTAGAATTTTGTCAATCTTGTGAGAATTTTGAAATTAAAGTGATGTTAACTTGTTAGAGGGATGTAATAATCAGAGCATACGCCAGCCTAAAAATTTTATGTCATGGTGACTCGTTATGTTTGTTTGTCAACTTAAATAATCCACCAGTCAAATCAGTTTCGAAAAATGCATTTATTGTGTTCTTTATACATTACAAGTTGAAATATATTGCAGATAACCGTTAAGAAATAGCACTGCACATACTTATAAATAAGACTCGGTGGGCAGATTTTTTTTATTGCCCCATGCCCAAAAATGTTTTCTTTCGCGCCAATTTTGCACTAAATTTTGGAAAATTTTTGGCTAAATTCTCATATTTATATGTTATTAATTTTCACAATTTTAGTTAATTTTTATTAGGAAGAGTGAAAATTTGTCCACAATTGCTCTGAGCGTTAAAAAAAATTGTGTACGCCTAAGCTTGTCATTTTTCTCTTAGAATTTAGAAATCTAGGCATTTGGCAGCCATGATAAGACTCAAGCCTGCTAACCTGTCGACGAGATTACGACTTTGCACAGGCAATCTGGTAGTCCTAAGACATGCGACTAAATATCCAGATGGCACAACGCGCTGATTGGTCAGCTGAATGACGTCAATCTACTAAAATCGGAAATGTTGATCGATCAGCCTAAACTTTGTATTGTTGTTGTTGTTGTGAGAGCGTGCAGACATTATATAATAGTTATAGACATTTCATCTAAAACTTGATAAAGGCACTTATTTATAATTTCACTAGCTCTTGTGTGTATTGACATTAATTGAAAATTTTGCAATAATTTTAACATTAAGTTACGTGATATCAAAGATTTTAATGTTGAGACATTTTTAAACATCAAGAAGTAACTTTTATCTGTTTTGTATTTTTTAAGCTTTTTTGTACATTTACTTCAATAATAAAATTAGCAGACCCCGCCACGCGTTGTTGTGGCTCAAAATGTATCTATTACACAAGTCAACAGTGGTTTTGGTGCCCAGTGGTTTTGAGCTGATTTCATATGAATTTAATGTCCTGAATTCAAATATGGCATTAGTTTTTGCCTAGGAGCTCTAATTTTTAAGATATAGCATTTTAGCAAAATATATGTTTCAATATCTTAAGTTGAATCCATGGATCAAGTAAAAAAAACTAAACACGGAATTTTTATTATTATATTATGCAAATATTATTCTATACAAAGATAGAGAAAAAAGTCATCAATAAAACTAAACAGTTACACATTGAGGAAGCTTCTTTTCCGTGACTTTCGTGAATGTATTTTGGAGCAATCCCTTTTTAAACTCTGCCATCATATGCATATCCCATCTTCCTTGGTAGCGGTCCTCCATAGTTTTAATATCCTGGTGAAATCTTTCACCTTGTTCTTCACTGGTGTCTCCTAAATTTTCAGGAAAACGGTCTAAGTGACTGTGTAAATAGTGCACCTTAATACTCATATTACACCCAAGGAATTTGAAACTGTTAAGCATCTCGTTTACCAGTTCAACATAATTTTCAGCTTTGCGTTTGCCTAGAAAATTTCTGACAACTGCAACAAATGAAGTCCAGGCTTTTCGCTCAGCTTCATTCATCGAATTTACAAAGGCAAGATCGTTAATGAGTTGTCTTATTTGTGGGCCATCAAATATTCCTGCTTTAATTTTTTCTATACTTAACTGAGGCATTTTTTCCCCTATATATGCAAAGCATGATCCCTTCTTATCAAGAGTCTTTACAAACTGCTTCATTAGGCCTAGCTTGATGTGCAGTGGAGGAAAGATGATTTTCTCTTGTTCAACTAAGGAGTCGTTAATGACATTTTTTTCTCCAACGTCTATGTTTTCTCTCTTAAGCCACTCTTTTTTAATCCTGTGGTGGGGGGTTTCTAACCCAGGGTTTCTAAGTCTACACAAATTACCCATTGATGTTCACGATACTTTATCTTCTCCAAGACCAGAGCTATGGTGTTATATTCTTCTTTCATTTTCGTTGAGTGAGCAATTGGTATTGAACCGTATTTGTTCCCATTGTGTAGAAGGACACATTTCAAACTTCGTTTTGAGCTGTCAATAAATAGGCGCCAATCATTGAAAAATATTCAAGATATTGAATATTTTTCATTGAAAAATTATCATTGAAATATTATTGAAATATCATTGAAATTATCATTGAAATATATCATTGAAAAATTAGAGGATATTGAAAAATATCCTCTAATTTTGTGACAAAACACAAAATTGTCTTCTTGAGAGAAGAATGGTAGCAGATCCTTTTCTCTTGTACGGTAAAAAGTAATTTTGGTTCCTTGCTCCAGTAAATTTTTCTCCTTCAACCCAGAAGCCAATAATTCAGAAGCTTCTTTTGGCATGTTGAGATCTCTGGTGAGGTCATTTAACTCATCCTGGTTGAAACATTGAGGAATTGATGACATTCTCTCTTAATCACAGTCACCTTCATTAGGATCAGAGGGATACTCGTCCTCACAGAGCTCTGGTAGCTGGTGAAATGATGGAACTGGCACTTGATGATGCGAGTGAGGGACCGAGAGTCTTGCAGAGACTAAATCAGGATAAGTCCACTTGCTACGATTGTTACGATTCCATTAATATTTATTAGGCAGAAATAACAGTCACCGAAGTGATTTTTGGGTTCTCTCCAAACCATCGGTACCCCAAATTTCAGACTTTTTCTTTTCCCAGTACTCCACTGTCGTAAATGTTCTGTACAAGTTTTACAGACCTGATACTAAAAAAGTAGAGCTGATAGATAAAAACTGATTTCATATTTGGATTCAGCGACCCAAATATAGCTAAAATCAGTTCTAAAATCCTAGGCACCAAAANACTTTTTCTTTTCCCAGTACTCCACTGTCGTAAATGTTCTGTACAAGTTTTACAGACCTGATACTAAAAAAGTAGAGCTGATAGATAAAAACTGATTTCATATTTGGATTCAGCGACCCAAATATAGCTAAAATCAGTTCTAAAATCCTAGGCACCAAAAAAAATTTTTTTTGTTGACCTGTGTTATAAATGTATAACACTTCCCCCGTGGGGAGGAAATTTTTCGAAAAAATTCTTCTTAGTGTACATTCTCTTGACGTACCCTATCGCAATCAAAAACGCAAAAACCCGCATCTAAAATAGTATAATAGAAGCCAAGTTTTTCACGGTAAGCCTTAATCCTGTCTCTCTCCCCCCGCGGGGGAATATCGAAAAATCCCTTCTTAGTGTACATTCTGTTGACGTACCCTATTAAAATGCGATCAAAAACGCAAAAAAACCGCATCTAAAATAGTATAAATAGAAGCAGAGTTCTTTACAGCCTTAATCCTAACCATCTCCCTTCAGTGGGGGAATTTCGACACGTAGGCTATATTATATAAAAACATGTGCGTATTCGAATGCAGCGTTATGTCAAAATTTCAAAGGAATCGGTTGGAACAAACGAACATTACATTTTTATTTATATAGATAGATAGAAGATGATCTGCTTTAGTTCATTTTCACAGAAAAGCATAATGCCTCATAGAAAAGCAAACTTAGGGCGTCGTACTCGTAGCGCTATCTATTGGACATAAAAGCCTTAACCTCGATTATATATTTTAATTTATATGAATGTTTAACGGAATGATATACAGCCTATGTCCACCCTGAGGTTCCATTCTAAATATTGGTGAAAGAATTTTTGAAATCGGATAAGTAGTTTCGGAGATTACCTGCTGCAAACAAACTTACATACATACATACATACTTACAAACATTACCTCTTTATAATATTAGTATAGATAATCAAAAACAACAAATATAAATTGCAAATTAAGTTGTTTCTTTTTTTTACATTCTTTATTAGACAATACATTAGTTTTAACCTTACAGAAATTTGTATTTAGTGTTATATATACTGTATATAGGCCTATATATATATTAGAACAGAATATGCTAAGTGTAAATGCAGATTAGTTAACAATTTAATATATATTTTCACCTAAACATTATTCATACTTTCTAATGCATAATTGTTAAAACATTTTAAATAATAAGTTATTTTTTCTATAAATTCTCTAATCCAGTGTTTTTCAACCTGTGGGTCGCGACCCCCAGGGGGGTCGCAAAGACTTACACGGGGGGTCGCGGGTAAAAGAAAAAGACAAGTGTTTGTAGCTCCTACTTTGCGTTTTATTTTAAAGTACAATTGGTTTTTCGATCGATATTTAGGTCTCAACAGAAAGGAAATTAAATACGTAGTTTTTAAAATCACTGATATAGTTTTAATATGGCCTTGTGGGGGTCGCCAGAATTTTTTTAACTTATAAAGGGGTCGCGTATTCAAGAAGGTTGAAAAACACTGCTCTAATCCATTGGTTTCCTGTTCAAATGAAATCCTGTGAAAACTTAAATATAGACTGGATATATATTTTTCTATGCAACCAGATATACAGCACATGCAAGGCATCTAGAAATACTTATTCATTAGTATGGTAATATTATTTTAACAAAAAATAAAAAGGATTTAAAAAATAGTTTACTATGAAAACATTACAGTACAAATATAACATTACTTTTTCCTGACACATATTGATAAACAATTTCCATGATGAAATGCATGGAAATTCTTATTTAAAACATATATAACTATTATAT